ACCAGAAGCATTCAAGCCCCATCTCTAGCCCTTAATTTTGAAGTATGTGTTGTATATAACTATGTACATTCCTGGGAATGAAACCCACATCTAAAATTCATTTATGTATGCTTTAGACACATAACCTGAAAGATGTTTTATACATTTTAAAATAATTTTGTGCGTGAAAAGAAAATTCTGCATGGTGTAGAATTTTCACTTGTAGTGTTATGTCAGCCTCAAAAAGCTTTGGATTTTGAGCATTTCATATCATATATTTTTAAATGAGGAGTATCCAGCATGCATATTCATTATAATTCTACAATATTAACTTTGGTATGTGTGCAAAAAGACTATAAAATGTAGATGCTGTTATCCATATATTCTCATCCTTGTTTTTTCTTAATATTAAGAACATGGGAAATATAAAATCTTCATGTTACTCATCTTTGGGAGTCTCTTTTGTGCCCACAAGTTTATGTAGTATCATGTTCTTTTCACCTGAAGAACTTTTTTATTATTTATTTATTTATTTATTTTTGGGGGGGATCCGGTCGTGGGGCCTGAACTCTGGGCCTGGGCGCTGTCCCTCAGCTCTTCAGCTCAAGGCTAGTGCTCTACCACTTGAGCCACAGCAGCACTTCCGGCTTTTTTCTTTTTGTTTATGTGGTGCTAAGGAATCGAAACCAGGGCCTCAGGCATGCAAGGCAAGCGCCTTACCACTGAGCCAACTTCCCAGCCCTGAAGAACTTTTTTAAAACATTGCTTGATTACAAAAGTGCCCTGAGTCTCTCTGGTTCTAATTGTCTGAAAAGGTCTTCATATTTGAGAGACATCTTTGTTACTGTGTTTATTTTATAGTTTTTTAAATTGTATTTTATCATTTCCTTTCTTACAGTTTCTATTTCAGTCTCTTTACTAGGATTTGAGTTTTAGACATAGATTTTTCCATTTATTTTTCTAGAAAACTGTTTTCCTCTTTTACAAAAAAGGAAAATTTGTAATAGGGAATGTGTAATAATGACAGTATTGCTTTGAGAGTCAAAAGAGGTCATTGGTAAATAAATGTGTTATCTTGAAAATGCCCTATCCCTCTTCTTCTCTGGGCCTCAGTTTCTCTCATTAAAGGTTTGGATAGCAAGATTACATTACTACTTAGTTCCTAAATTCTAGGGTTTTGTGAAGGAAGAGAAGGCTAACATTTATTGACAGTGCATTTAATCCAATGAAAAAATCTGAGAAAGGAATAAAATTATATTCTAAAAGTGCTTTTATAACATGCCTTACTTTTAGTAAGGTGTATGTGGAATATTAATTGACAGAAACAACATTAAATCCAGTTGCCAGTTGGTTAAATCTGTTGAAGAATCATTAAATTTTTTCTGCTTTTCAGTTTCTTGACTCACTTGAGAAATTTCATAGCTTATAACATATCTCATTTACTTTCTTTGCATTTGTAGGATTTTTAAGTTGTTAGAGTGGCTTCCAAATTTTGCAGTGTGAAGAAAGATTAATGGAGGTTGATACTCTTTACTGACATGTGCAAAAGAATAAGCATCTTATTGAAGTGGGCTTTGAAGTCACAGATGGGTTTAAATCCTGGTTGTATGGTTGTTAAACTTTGGGCTGATCATTTAATTTTTCCTAGTTTATGAAATAGGGATCATTCCCATGTCATAGAATTGGTTTAGTGTCTGGGTAATAGGAATCAGTCATTGATGACATTAAAAATGTTAGCTACAATGAACCACCATTAAGTACAAGTAAAAGTCTAAAAAAAAAAAAAAGACTTTAAGACTTTTTTTACAATCCCTTTTGATAGAAAGGGCTACCTGGTTACAAGACATTTTAATAATAGGGATAGGTTTAACTAAAAAGTGAATATTGATGAGTAGTGGTAATAACAAAGAATTGAGGGCCTATATGATGATGGATGCTCATTTTTAAAAAATCTTCTGAACAGCCCATTGAAGTAAGCCACCCTTCCTGTGGGAAATGTTCTTGTGACCATTTTTCACTTTTCTGCTCTGCCTGCATGCTAGTGTGCGCGCACACACCCACACACCCACACCCACACCTACACACACACCTCCTTCCCTTTTTCCCCACGTCTCACCCCAGTTGAGATTTTCTTTGGCAAAGCAGTGGCCCACAGCAAGTTGAATTGAATTGTTGAGATGTAAAGTCTGTATTTTTCTTGTCAAGAATAAGGTCCTTCTACCTTTAAAATTACAGATGTAGATTGCAGCATTAACAAACTGATTGGTGGTTTGAAGTAAAAATACGAAGAAAATAGTTGTGATAAAGGATTGACTTGATCAAACTGAGGCCTCCTCCATTCCATAATACTGTTTGTTAAGACTAAGTACTTTAGATAGAGGACTTATTTAAAGTAGCTTTTGCCTTATAAATTTACCAAAGAGTAAATATAATGCATTTTAAGGAAGTGCCCAGATTCTGTGTTTGTGAGTAATTTTACTGGAATGGACATCATTCAATACTGAAATTATTCAATACAAAGAAGCATTCTTTAGTCACAGTGAACAACTGTCTTCCAAACTGCAGACTGCAAACAGGCATCCTTGTTCAAATAACACAGGGAGTAATGTCAAGATATTTTGCAGTTGTTTCTTGTTTTTACAAAAGTACATTCCAGGTCACAATCTTGGGATTGTTGGGAGGAGCTGAAGCGATCCAATGTAACTCCTTCCTGCCATCTAGAGAGATGAAGCAATTTATCTAAAGTCATATAGCTAACTAATGACACCGCCAGAGAGAGAAGTCACTCATCTATTATGCCACCTTGCTGTATTTCTCTGGAAAAAATTGCCTACTCATTCCTGGGTTTTAATGTTAGCTTTAGTCTTAGAGTATGGGATTTTCCATGACTAACAAGTGATCTTTTGTTTTCCCATGTGGGTGTCAGGGAACAAGCAGAGTATTTTTGTTATAGCCAGAACAGTGTAAAGCAGCAACAAGGTAGTTATCTAGTTAACGCTTTAGGAGTCAAGAAGTTGTCATAGCTCACAATTCTTTGCCCTTCTTGTTGATAGGCAGTTATTTTAAAGCTGAGTATTTTATTGTTTTCTTCTTGTACAGGTCCTGAGGCTTGAACTCAAGGCCTGGGCACTGTCCTCGAGTTTCTTTGATCAAGGGTAGTGCACCACCACTTGAGCCATATCTCCGCTTCTGGCTTTTTGGTGGTTAATTGGAGATAAGAGTCTCATGGACTTCTCTGTACCCAGACTGGCTTCAAAATGTCATCCTTAGATCTCAGCCTTCTGAGTATCTAGGATTATAGCATGAGTCACCAGCACCTGTTTAAAGCTGAATTCCTTAACCTAGAGTCTGAATTTCCTGAACTTTTATGAAAACTGTGTGACTATATATTTATATGGTAAGAAAATAATCTGTAGCTTTCATCAGAATTTTCAAAGCCGATAAGAGTTTAAAACTGTTGTTTTAGAAGAGAGACCTAATCCCGATTACACTCAAAGTATGTTATAGTAGAGAGTTTCTTATCTTAAGCTCCCTTACTACTGAACAAGTCTTGCCCAGGCTTCTTAGATTTTGTGATGGAAGCCAGCATAGGCTTTTGTTGCCAGACTCTTTCACCTTTTTTCCCAAGATTAATTGCCAAACATTTTTCCTGAGCTTTCTCATTCTCTCCCGGGCTCTGTTTGTAGGAGAGAGTGGGAAACTCAGGGATGTTCGCTCATTAGGAAGCTCAAGTATATTTCTACTGTTACAGGTTCTGTGATCTGATCTGAGAACCTAAGACTATTGCAGTAAGAAAGTAATTCCAATCAGTACTCTGTAAATTAACTTTTAATATTTTGTGTTTGATCTAGAAACTTCTATTTTTTTTGAAGCAGAATGAAAATCCATAGATGGTGGTTTAGGAGCTGTTCACAATTGTCTAGGAAATTTGAATTTTTTTTTTCTCCTTGAATTTTATTTGCTTTAGAAGAACTTATCCCTGTATTGGAATTCATTTTGATGGGCTCCCTTCCAGAAGAGAGCATACAGAAAGCACATTCTAATTTTTTTTTTTTAAGTCTAGCATCTGGTCACACAAAGAAAAAGCACTAAGATGGAGGTTGGAAAAGCTTGTTCATTTACTTATTCATTAAAAAAACAAAACAAAACCCTTACTGAGAACATATCAGAAATGCTTAGACATTATCTTAGATGATGGAAAATGAGAACTGAACTCTTCCCTTCTGAGGCTATCTGCTGGGAATTCAGCTAACAATAATAATTCCCATGATTGCCATGAGAGAAAGCATTGATCTCAGTTTTGTGCCTGGCCAGAAGTAGGGATGAAGCCACTGGATAATTATTGGCCAAAGAAGTTAGGGTGACCAAAGAGGTGACCAAATTTGAAGGTCTTTTTTTTTTTTTGTTGGTTGTGGACTTGAACTCTGGGCCTGGGTGCTGTCCCTGAGCTCTTCAGCTCAAGATGAGTGCTCTACCACTTGAGCCACAGTGCCATTTCCAGTTTTCTGATGGTTAATTGGGGATAAGAGTCTCATGGACTTTCCTGCCCAGGCTGGTTTTTTTGTTTGTTTGTTTGTTTTTTGGTCGGTCCTGGGGCCTGCACTCAGGGCCTGGGTGCTGTCCCTCAGCTTTTCAGCTCAGGGCTAGCACTCTACCACTTGAGCCACAGTGCCACTTATGGCTTTTTCTACTTATATGGTACTGAGGAATTGAACCCAGGGCCTTATACATACAAGGCAAGCACTCTACCATTGAGCCACCTTCCCAGCCCTCAGGCTGGTTTTGAACCATGATCCTCAGATGTCAGCCTCCTGAGTAGCTAGGATTACAGGCATAAGCCACCAGCTAAAAGGACTTAACTCATTCATAAATCATTTCAGAAGGCTATTCTCAAAGGTTTGATAGAAACTTATCTGGCAAATCAAGGATCTGGGTTTGTAGGAATAAAAAAGAGAAGGCCTTTCTAATTTTAACTAAACTTGACATTTACCATGTTCCTATATTTTTATATTTTCAATTAGAGTTCCAAACGAGAATGGAAGCCTCTGGAAGACCGTAGCTGCACAGATATACCATGGCTGCTGCTCTTCATCCTCTTCTGCATTGGGATGGTAAGGAAACTCATAACTGAATTTGAACTCATGATCCAAGGGAATGATGGGTGGGAAGCTTCTTTAAAGAGGAAACTTGTATATATGGGTGCATATGTATGCTTGTGTATATATTTTACTGCTTTTAATCAATGGTCTAAGGTTCCATTGAGGCAGTTTATGTTTTCCCACATATAGTTCAGTGATAATTGGTATCTCTCGTTTTTGTTTTGTTTTGTCTTTACATGAAAACTGAGTTCAAAGTTAAGAGACTTATAACTTACTTCAGGAAGCCAGTCATTTGTCATGAGTTTATTGAATTGTGTTCTTAAAGGCACAGTGAGCAGAGCGCTGGCTATGGACTTGAGAATCCTGCATATTTACCCAGTCTACTCACACAAACCTGATAGTCATCTTTGGACCAATCAGAATTCTCTTCTCAGAGATGTGGTATACCTGTTATGTATAAAAGAACAGGTTTTGCCTGGTGCTGGTGGCTCACACCTGAGATCCTACCTACTCAGGAAGCTGATATCTGAGGATTGTTGTTTGAAGCCAACTAGGTCAGGAAAGTCTGTGAGACTCTTATCTCCACTAAACTATGCCCCCAGTCCCCCCAAAAGCCAAAGCTGAAACTGGAGGCTGATGAGATCTAAGGCTCAAAACCAGCTGGGGCAGGAAAGTTTGTGAGACTTTTAGCTCCAATAAAATACTCAGAAAAAGCTGACAGTAGGACTGTGGCTCAAGTGGTAGAGTGCTAGCCTTGAGCACAAAGAGGCTCAGTGACAGCGCCCAGGCCCAGGAACAGCAGAAAAGCCAAAAATGGAGCTCTAATTCAAGTGGTAGAGTGCTAGCCTTGAGCAAAAGAAGTTCAAAAACAGTGTACAGGTTGAACTCAGGCTCAAGCCACAGGACCAGCATGCACAGAAAAAAAAAAAAAGATAAATGACCTGGACATATTCCTGTAATCCTAGCTACTCAGGAGGCTGATATCTGAGAATTACAGTTGGAAACCAACTTGAGAAAGAAAAGTCTGTGAGACTCTTATCTCTACTAAACTACTCAGAAGTGGTTCTGTGGCTCAAGTGGTAGAATACTAGCCCTGAGCATAATGGTGAGCAAGAACAGCACCCAGGCCTGAGTTCAAGCCCCAGTACTGGCAAAAAAAAACCAAAAAACAACAACCTTTTGCTAGATGATATCTACCATTACTTCCAGTTTTGAAATACTTTATTTCTTTCTACATGGGATATTGTTCATTGCTTTACCTTCCTCAGCTCATACATACTAAGCTCTACAGCCTGCTATATCTACTGTATTAAATATCATCTGTCGGTCAGAGATTAAGAGACCTAGTATTTTTCCATTCCATGTAGAGGACAACAATCCGAGTCCTGGTGCATAGTGCCAGGTGTGAACTTATTTAGTAGACCGAATTGCTGAACTTAAGTGATACAGTCTTCAGCGGCTTTAGAATCAGTGCCAGTGTGTTGGTTGGCAAAAAGATATACAGATAGCTGGTTTAGAGTCTGCTGATGTTTAGAACTGTAAAGGACTTAAAACTCTTCATCTGGTCCATCACCCTCATTTTACAGATAAAACATCAAACCCAGAGATGGAATCAACCAATCCCAGTCCACACTGCTATTTAATGGCAGAGCTGCTAACAGAGCCCAGTCTTTTTACTTGGGCCAGTGATATTTTCTACTACTCATTTCCTGTTCATCAAGGAAGCTGTGCAGTATTGCTCTCTTTCTTAAGTCTGCTGAACTCCATATAGAACTTGTCTTATACAGACAAACTTTTTGTAGATGTTCTATTCTGTATGTCTTTATAAGCAAAAATTTTAGGAAAGTTTTATTGTGTGTCTCTCTGTTTACCTCACCAGTACCTTCTCTGAATCAAGACTATATTGTTGGCCAGTACGCACAATTGTAGGTACCAGTTCTAACCCAGAAACAAAAAGGAGGCAGTATATTTCTATGAGTTGTGATAAATCCAATAAGATAAAGAATGTTTGTTTTAATGATAGGCATGCATTTTTGCCAAATTTACTGTATTTAGGAAAGATCATAATACCCAGTGCTTAAGCCAGACCTTTTAAGACATTGTTTAATGGAATGGCAACTAAATGTGGCATGCACAAATAAATACTCCAAGTACAGCAATGACTGATAACAGATTGGGCCATAGCCTTTTCCCCACCCCTCAAGTATAACCTTGGAGTACAGAGCAGCTGACCTCCCCAAATTATGTTTATAAAAAAAACATGTACCATGCCACCCAAAGTGCTTTTGCTTTTCTGTACTGAAATAGCTCAGAAAAGCGTAGTCATTAATGTTAATAGACTCATTTGCAAGGGACTTGAGAGTAAGGAATCATTTGTTTACTAAAACGTTTTCTAAGGCAGTGGTAATTAATATAATGTTGATTTCAATGTGATGGTAATTAAGACCCACTGTGTGTACTTTTAAATGCAGGCATAGCAGTATTTGTTTTGGAATGAGTCTTTTAATAGAATACGTCCATGGAATTTAGCTAACATCAAATTTTTCCATGTGGAAGTTGAAATAATCTCAAAGTTCTTTTGCCTATCACATGGGCACAACAGAGATTAAAATTTTTTTTTTGCCTTCTTACAGCCTGTTTTACTTGTTTTATTAGAAGTCATTCCCTGCTTTTCCCTGGTTTTAGTCTGTAGCCTAACCCAGATCTCAAATGCCTGGGACCACAGTGTTTCTGACTTCAGGTTTTTAAAAAAATGTGGAATGTCTGCATATACATTAGGAGTTATCTTAGGGATGAGACCCAGTCTATATATAAAATTATTATTATTATTTGTGTGTGTGTGGGGGGACGTTACTGAGGTTTGGACTCAGGACCTAGGCATTGTCTCTTAGCATTTTTGTTCAAGGCTAGAGCTCTACCTCTTGCCCCTGCATCTCCACTTCTGACATTTTGCTGGTTAACCGGAGATGAGTCTCATGGGGGTGTGTATCCCCATTTGCCCTATAATATCAGGTATCAGCCTTTTTTATTGTTATTGTTATTATAAAGGTTACAATTACATAAGTTGAGTAATGAGTACATTTCTTTTTGGACACACTCCTTCCCTCGTGCTCTCCCAGTTTTTCCCTCCTGTATGGTTTATATTCCACATAGTGTCTTGTGAGTACCACTGCTGTATTTGTTCAACCTTCATCCCTCCATTTCTCTGCCCCCTCTTATCCTCTCAAAGATAAATAAGTGAATAAACAAGACAAAAAGAAAACAAAACAACAACAAAAACCTCTTGTTTCCAGTTCTTGGAATTCATTTCCACAAGCATTATTTTATATGATTAGAGGCACATGGACATTGTGCCTTTGTGTTCCTCCCCTAAGAGTGTTCTCCTTTGGTCTCACTGTGTGTGAATGCCTAGAGTCCTGTATACGTTAGCATACACCATTTGAGCTTGGCTTACCTCACTTAACATGATTTGTGCCAGGTCCATCCATTTCCCTGGGTATCAACCTTCTTGAGAGCATCATCTTCCTTGTTTAAACTTACCTTAAGTGCTGAGATAACAGGTGTGTGCTAACATACTTGGCACAGGTTTGAACTTTCATAACTATTTCATAACTATGTGCCTAGCCTGTTCAAGAAAAATTCATGTGACTCCATTTATTCCCTCCCCTCCTTCCTCTTTCTCTACTTCCCTCCTTCCCTTCTCTTTTTCTTTTTTCCCTCCTTTCTGTGTGTGTGTGTGTGTGTGTGTATGTGTGTGTATTTGTTTGTTTTTGCTATTTTGAGACACAGTCTCACTAGGTAGCCCAGGTTGTTCTTGAATTTTTCAGTCTTCTTTCTACTTCACAAGTGCTGGGATTATTGGCATCTAGTAGCTAATCTATATTTGCACTTCTAAGTTTCTATTTTCAGATAAGGTAGAATGCAAATGTTTCTCAATCTTAGCTATACATTAGAATCATCTGGGATATTTAAAGTAAAATGCCATACTCCTCTGCGATTCTCATGTCTCCCACATTGTTCTGTTGTTCATGCAAGGTGCAGACCCTACTGTAGCCACAGAAAAATTAGGAGATAGGAGTAACATGCCTAGATTTAGAAAGAATGCCCCAGTATCCAGTATTAAAGATGACTTGGGAAGGAAGAGATTTGAGGCAGTTCAGATAAGAGGAATAAAACTTGAAATGATGTGATATAGTAAAGGAAAGTAAGAAAGAGCTTGAATAGGCTAACCAGTGGTTATCCATGGTATAGTAAAGTGAGAGTCAAGTCATGGATGAATAATGAGGCTCTCTGTCAAATCTAAGTTTGAATCTTACCTCATTGCCTTCACGTTTCCTAGCCAGTCTGTATACATCCGGGAATCTGATTGAGATGGATAAACAGAGTACCAGGTATCACCAATGAGAAGGCATCTGATTTTGTGCCCAATGAAAAAGTCCTCTATAGTATAAAAATGACTTACACTATGTAGATTAAAGTTCCTTGTCATCTAGTATGATCAAACCTAATTATTTCTCTGGAAAAAGTATATGTGAGAATAGAAGACAGGAAGAGAGAACGGGGATCTACCTAGACCAATCAGCTTAGCACAAAAATGGAGGGAAGAGAGGAGGCTGGATGGCCCTAACAGGAATGCCAAACCTGGAAAATAGTTACTGCTACTCTCTGAGTGAAGGCTAGGTACCTCACTCTTAGAAACTCAAATATTTTTTCTCATAACTGCTTCTGGAATTATACATTCTTGTTACCATCTTGTCTGCTTTACACATTAGGAAACAGAGACACAAATATTTTGTTTGATTTTACAGTAACTCCACTGGTCCCAGGAGAGAAGAGGAAGAAGGTCTCAATAAGTACATTCTATTATGTTGACTGAAATCAGGAACAACAGTAAAAGGTTTTGTTTAGAACATGAGGTTATTAGGCCTGTAAGACCTAATAACCTCACTTCCCAGTAAAACATGCTTTCATCAATGTTTCTGGCTTTGACCAAACAATCTCTACAGGACTTC